ATGATTTTTCAGTAACTGTGAAAGAGAAATAGAACTCAATCTTTGTAATTACTGCATTTGCTGCTGATTAAAAACTCATTAAGTTATTCTTCTTCTCTTTCTTCTTGTCATTCTTCTTGTCATTCTTCTTTTTCTTTTTATCAGAGTGTAAGATGAAACATCTGTTAACAGTATATTCATATCTTCTACAGTGAATACACTTTTATACAGATGTGCTTTTATTCTCATCTTTATCCTTATCTTTGTTCTTTTTTGCAGTCACAGAATCAGCCTGAGACTGCTTTTTTCACTCAGGATGATCTTCTTGAATGTACAATTAATCAGTTGCTTCATCAAATCATTGATATTAATGTTGACAATGAGTCTCTGATCAGTGAAGAAAAACTCATTTAAATATGTCTTAACAAATAATCTTTGATAATCTTGTAGATTATTGAGGAAAAGATCATGATATATATTCTCAGTACTCTGACAGAGCTCTTTGTGATAAGTAATAAGATAGCAGAAACATCTCTGAAAAGTAAGATAATCATTCTTCTTAACTTATAATTTTATCAATTTCTTGAAAATATTAACTTGTTCTTCTGTCAGTGATATTATATATTCAATATTAATCTTGTCTCACAGAGTCACAGCATGGTCAGCTTTCAAGATTTTAATAGTGATTTGAATGTTTTTAACAAGACTTAATAGCATACATCTATATAGAGACTTGAAACAGATTCTTCACTTCTCAGAGTTAATATAACATGTAAAAGAGAATTCTCATTGAGTTCTTAATAGAATGTTGATTTCATCAATAACTTCTATATTAGTTAATATATCAATATATCAGGCTTTATAATTAGAGTTATTAAATGTGATCACTGATTTGATATCTAGTGTGTATTTGACTTTCTTCTGATATTTCTGCAACTCATCTCTTATAGTGTCTCTTTGTATAGAAACAGATATAGTGAGATGTTGAGTGATTTCAGCTGCAGTTATTTAATTCTGTAGTATTATCTGTATGAGATTCATAAGATTGCCTGCAGTGTAATAGATAGATTGATTCAGATTATCATTAAAAATCAGCATTTCAGAGATAAGAAATAATAAAGAATTTAATAAGTTGAAATGAACAGATTCTGTAGATGAATATTAACTCTGCTTTTCTTTATTCTGAAGTTTCTTCATTGTCTCATTATCAAATTTCATACTCTGATAAAAACTGATCTCAGTCTTATCTTGCAAGTCAGAAGCCTTCTCATAATAAGTGATCATTCTATTAATAAGTCATCTAGTGAAGTGTGTAATTCTGAGCCTTGAGCTGAACTCTGAAGTAACAGATATATCACTTATATTAAGATGACTCTGCTTCTTCTAGATATGTAAAAAAAAATAAAAAATAAAAAAGTGATATTCTTCACAATGAAGAATGTACTTTCTCAAAAATATAAAGTATATAAATCTGCTAATCAGCAGATTCAGAGAAAATGAAATATCTCTAATAAAGAGTAAGAGTCTTTTCAAAAAAGATAAACTATCTGTGTCAAAAATATTGATGTAACATTTTAAAAAGAAAAACATGTTATTCAGACTATAATCTGTAGAATAGTTAAAGGTTGTGTATTAATAGATCTATCTACAAGAAGATAATATAGTGATGGGTCACGTGATCTAGTGAAATCGCTAACCGCAACGGCCGTAAGAGTCAATAATAAGTGTGCAACTCAAATCAGTTAATAAAGAGTGTAAAAAAGAATTAAGTATTAATAAAAGCTCTTCAGTCACTGAAAAAGTAATTCTTACTTAAAAGAATATGAAATTATAATAGAAAACAGCTCTGTTTTTAATTCTTTATAAGAATATTGTATAAAATTGAGAGGAAAACATCTTACTTTTTCAAGACAAGTAAAAAACTATTTCTAAGATCTTTTTTTTTTACATTAACTGCTGTAGAAGAATGAAATAGAAACTACTAAGATATGCACTACTATATACTCTCTATCAAGACTTTCTCTCTTCAGAGTCTTGATATTATAGAGAATATAAGTCTGTTTCTAAACTGGCCGCTGAAACCATGAATTTCACGTTTAGTCTCATTTGGTCTGGTCTCATACATTTCTTGGCGTGAATCCCGCTGGGACTGGCTATCAAAAAAACAGGTAAAGTGACTATATATCAGATCTTAAAATGGAACCATGACTTGAAAAAAATGAGAAAGTGGTCTCATTTGGTCTCATTTAGTCCCATTCTTGGCATAAAGTTACTATTTTTAGACATTTTAAGGTTTTTTTTAGACTATTTTTAATTTTTTAAAAAGTAACACTTTTTGGTAATGCTTAAATGAGATTTAAAGTCATTTAAAGCAATAAAAATAATTTAAATTGAGAAGTGGAAATCATGGTCTCATTTGGAAAATGTGATAAGAGTAGACAGTAAGTCTCACTGAGACAGTATGGAACTACTATCTAATGTTAAAACCGTGTAATGGGATCAGTCGAATTGATAATGAGACTATCAAAAAATCTGGTCCTGGTCCCAGACACGGTCACACGGTCAGTCTATCTGTTTCTATATAATAATATAAATATTGTCAGCAGAATGTAGAGAAACTGATTATTTATATCTCAAAATAGAAGACTTTGTTAATGATTATATTAATATAGAGTTAATTCTTAAATTCAATAGAAATCTAGTATTGCTATTCTCAATTTCTTACATAATCTATTGAATATTGAGATATTAAAACTAGATTTAATATATCTCACTGTGCAGAGATCAAAGACTCAGTCAGATCTTAAGATATACTGATTTTATAGTTGTTAATATACTGTTAACTTGTTATTCACTGATTATGTATTGAATGCTGTTATCAAGATATCTTTTTGTATTTTTCTGTCAAGAATGAGTCAGATTGAGAAGGGCAGTACAAGGGTGAGACTTAGTATTGATGTTTTGAGACATCAAAGATGAACAGGGTTTTTACAGAGATTACTTCTCAAATATCTTCACAATTACAGATCAGAGATCTTTCAAAATCAAGAAGATTGATGCATATGACTAGATCTCTTCACCTTACAATTTGTATGGCAATTTGTCCCAGGGTTGTGATGTGATAGAGGTGAATAGGGGATAATCCCACACAGAAGTTTTGAACAATGTTTGGTTCACATTTGACTGAATATCTCCACCATCACACAGGGTATGTGGTCGGCGATGGGGTCAAAATGCTCGTATGATTGAGGGCTTTTTAATGGATCTACCGGCGGGTTCTTATTCGAAAAATCAAGCGAGTTCATAGTGGAGCGGTTATATATAATACTATAAGTATTATTAATAATTATTACTAAATTCTGATTATATAAGTAATTACTGAATAAACTGAATAAGACTGAATTTAATCTTCAGTCTCAGTTCTATTCTGATTTTGAAAGAATAATTATCTTTCACTGTTTATTCTGAGAAATTACTCTCATTTCACTGTTCTTGAATTAAATCTGGTCATTTTTCACACTATTTCTCTCAGAAATGATTCATTTTCAGATTTTTTTAATACTTAGTTCTGATAAGACTTATGTTAAGAAATGTATAAGATTAGACTAAATGAAATTAAATGTGAAATTTATAATCTTATCAGTCAGTCTAGTTATATTCTCTATTTTTTCAATAAAATATAATCTGAGAAAAGTAAGTACTGTATAGACTAACTAATAAGATTATAAATTTCATATTTAATTTTATTTAATCTATTCTTATACATTTCTTAACATGAATTCTACTGAGATTAATTATGAAAAAAACATGTAAAGTAACTATTTATCAGATCTTAAAATAAAACTATAACTTAGAAAAAATAAGATAGTAATTTCATTTAATTTTATTTAATCTTATTCTTAATATGAAGTTACTCTTTTTAAACATTTTATGGTTTTTTTTAGACTATTTTTAATTTTTTAAAAAGTAATGATTTTTAATAACACTTAAAGAAGATTTAAAGTTATTTAAAATAATAAAATAAATGTAAATTAAGAAGTGAAAATTATAGTCTCATTTAAAAAATATAATAAGAGTAGATATTCAGTTTTACTAAGATAGTATAAGACTACTATCTAATCTTAATATTATGTAATAAGATTAATTAAATTAATAATAAGATTATTAAATATTCTGATTTTAATCTTAGATATAATTACAAAGTCAGTTTAATACTATATTAGATTATAATACTTAACACAGTCTCAGTATATAAAGCTGTTATTATTATTATTATTCTTATTATTCTTTTATTATACTTATATACAAGCAGAGCTTATAATATGTTCTTGCATAATATTAAATACAGGTTAAGTGTTAATTATACAGAAGAAAATACAGGTGTTGAAATCACACTAAGATAACAGAATATAGAAAAATACAAAGAAGTGATAATTAAATATATATAATAATAGCTTCTTAACTTAGAAATATAGAGTAATTTATTAAAGTAATTTATACATCTCTGTATTTATTAGAAATCTGAGATGTTTAAGTTCTGAATTTAATATATTCTCTACAGATTTCAAACTTATATATTATAATTTCTCATATTAAAATACTATTAAATAACTATATTAATTATTCAGTCACTAAGACTATATAAAGCTCTATATATATAGTATATAATAAATTAACAAGCTATGTAAATTATATATTAATAACAGCATTTTAATAAAAACTGTATTATATATATAAAAAGTAAAATGCTGAAGTAAGTATATATATATTATATAAAAATAATACTTTTTAATAATACTCAGTTTTTAATATTCTGAAAATAAAGTTTTTTTCATAAAATTTTTAATAAATGAGAATTTTATTATAATATTATATAAGTGAGAAATAATTTCATAATTTCATTTCTTAATAGTAAAATCAGAATAAAAATATAATTAAAAATTTAAATATATTCTTTATTTGAGATTAAATTTTTATTTGAAAAGTGAATCTGAAACTTTCAATATTTGAAATAAAGTGATTTGAAATTAATATAATAAATATAAACTGTGATCAGAAGTAATGCTTTTAAGCAATGTAATCACTGTAAAGTTTGATTCTGGTCTCAGACACGGACTCACACGGTCACACGGCCAGTCTACTAATGCTAAGAAATCTAGCAATTAAATCAAATAGAATCAAATGTGAAATTCATAGTTCTGCTAGCCAGTTTAGGTATGTCAGTCAAAGAGAATGTGATAGAAAGGCAGCAATTGAATATGCTCAGATACAATGACATTGAAAATTGCACTATCACGTCATCTAGAAAGTCAAAACAATATAGATACAAGACAAGAAGGAAAAAAATGGCCTATAATTCCCTCTAAATCTAATGATAAAACACACGAAAAGTCTACCCTTGCCAGCTCGTGTCTAATTAACAGAGTCTAAAACTTGTAGACTTGCTCTTTGCTATATCCAAGCTCTTTCAGGATACCAGACAGTTCACCCTGGTCCTTTGGACTGACCTTAGGCCCGCTGATAGCCTTGTACATGCCCGGTGGCCCACATACGAAAATCTTGATATTCTCCGTCTTTGGTTCGGGAAGCACGGTCTTGAGTAGTTCCTTGGTGATGAAGCCGGTTCCCTGGGGCCAGTCCTGAGGCGGCTTGTCGAGGGTATAGAATGCGCGGAAACGACGGGGGTGGGTGTTTTCGAGATGCTCAATCTCCTTTCTCAGAAGGATGTCTTCCTCAGTGACGTTTCCGAAGACCAGGGTCACTTTGGTCTTGTCATCTGCGTTGCTGAAAATTTTGCGGACTAATTGATACATGGGCGTGATGCCAGTTCCCCCGGCAATCAGGCAGATGTGATCATGCTTGCTAGTTTCCCAGGGGTATTTGGGAACAGGGCCCTTGAAATCAAGTCGTTGGCCAACTGCCATGTTGTGAAGGTGGTTGGACATCGGGCCATTTGGATATCGCTTGACCAGCAGTTCAAGGTAGCCGGGTTGGCCTGTAAATTGTTGGATTAGCAATTTCTTGTCAAAGTGGCCAGAATTTGGATTCCTTGTTCTACATACTTTCTTCACTAACAGGAGTGTAAGGACGAATTGTCGGCTTCTCGTCGGTTGGACCCTTATACTTGGTCAAAATGGCGGCTGTTTCGAGAATTATCAGGTTAGCCGCAGACATTCGTGAGTCAGCCTACTGTTCCGGGAACGGGGATGGAACATACAAGCGACATGGAGACCAGAAACACTCTCGGGGTCCTCAAATTCGAAGCGGAATTTCTTGACGTTATGGCTAACATTGTCGATGTGGGCGAGCTTCAAGCCAACCCATCCCTGGTCCCCTCCCTTGAAGACTGCGCTGCGCTCCTTCGGTTCAGGGACTGACTTTGCAGAAGTAGTTTGCCAGTAGTAGTATCCTCCGCCGGCCGCAAGAACAAGGCCCCCAATTAGAGGAGCTCGCGATGATTTAGCCGGAGCTTCCGAGGAATATTTTCGTAGGCCCTATGCGCAATTGGAGCAAAATGTCAGCAGCGTGGCTAATAGCAGCAACATTTGATGCTGTTTGTAGAGTCCACTCACCTGTGCCAGAGGCTGGGCGGATCGGAACGTATATCGTGCAAACATTCTGGCTGGAAATCGATGTATCCGGAGAACCAATGGATGTAGAATGAGAAGGCTGATGGATGAATATTCGTGGTTGAGGTCTGGTGGCGTGCTATAGAGAGAGCACCCGTGGGACAGAAACCATGACGCAATGGCATGGAAAATCTGCCACACAAATTCCCAGGTCTTCCTTGGCGACCTTATTTTTGAACTGCACTAGGAACTACTCAAAAAAGCTTTATATCGCCGACATTTATATTATGAAAACTGCTAGGTTCTTACTGCTTCTACTGTAGCGATCATGCGATGAAGTCAAAAAGAAATAACCGATTGGGACTATCATGAAATTTTGAAGAGATTATAAAATTGAAAAAAGGTTTTGCTCCAGAGACTAAAAGAAGAACAGCTGAATCCTGGAGATAACGTAGTAGTATACGTTTCAACCGATCCACATGTCCAGCATACAAATGCAAGTAGCGATAAACGAAATTCATTCATATCCCGCTGCCCGCATTTTCCACGTCAACAAAACCCCCCATATCCACTTAAGCAAAAGTTGAAGGTCTTTGGGCTGCAAATAGCTTCTTGGTGGTTGCCTTGGGGACGCGGTGGGGGAGAGGGAACTTGAGATTCTTGGTGAGGAGCTGCTTGATGTATGGTCGTCGGATGAGGTCGGACTTCTCGATCTCGACAACTTTCAGGATCTAGAAAAAGGGGATATGTTAATACAGCAAGATAGACGATTGGGCGTGGTGAATATTTCATACGTGGATGGAGCCGAATCTGGCACGATGGCGGGCGGCCATATCCTGGTAGAGAGACTGGACGGCATCAGTCCGCGACATTTCTCGATATTCCTTGTACATGTTGTGTGTGCCGGAACGCGAATCGTAACGAATCCAGATGCCGAAATTCTTAACCTTCATTGGGCGCTTCTCGTGAATCTAATGAGGGAGGCAACATGGTTTAGTTGACCTGCTAGGAACGAAATTTCGAAATCTGTGAATTCCGCTCTCCCAGATGGGATACGTACCACGTTGATGGAGACAATTTCGCCATTTGCCTTCTTCACTTTTCGCAGCTTCATCAAGAAAAACCAGAATCTCGACTTAGCAACAACGGTGTTAGGAGCGAAGATGCGCATACGATACAGCTTTGGCGTGGGGTTCGCCTCCGTGGGCAGATGGCGCCCGATGACCTGGTATTCCGTGAGACGCCCTAATATGACACACATAATTAGACAGTGCTCCCAACAGCTGTTTCTGTAATCATAGTAGGCGATAGCAAAATGGTGCACGCATGTCCCGACAAGTCCAGGTAAATCTCAACAATTCGAAAGGCAAGAATCCAGTGTCCAGAAAGTGCTCCAGAAACGACCCCTAAGCGAAAATATCTCTCCCTCTAAACATAGTAACGATATTTTCTTCAAACTAGCAATGATCGCGGTATTCTCCCAAGCGCAGTTCCACGAATTGGGGGATTTTTGTGTGGGTAGATAATTTTGCAAACGCGATCTCGAAGGGGGTTGGGCAGGGCATCGCAACGCGAGGGCCTCGAATCAACAGGTAAAACTCACCCATCTAGAACGGCAATGTCAGTAACTCGCAATTTAACGTAGTTGGAGGAAAATAAGTACTTACTTTGTCTGGTTGTCGTGCTGTGTCGTGAGATGGATACCGTCTTCAACGCATAGAATTTCAGATTTTGTTCGAACTTGTGGTGGCTAGGGCTGTCTGTTCGCTTAACCGGGAGCCTCAGGGCGCTAACCGGGTTGGGGAATGCCAAGACATACAATTGTCAACTACGAACATCGAACAACAACACGAGGATCGGCGAATTGACTGGCTTGGTCTGGGAGGTGAATGGCTAAAGTTCAAACACCAAGGATATTTGCTCACCCTGCATCAGTTACCAGCTCCTTTTCTGCAATTCCGCGTACCTCACCAACACTCCTACACCAGTCAGCGCACCCAGGGCCGCAAAATGAGTACAGTATTTGCTGAGTTCAAAGAAGCTCAGCAGACAGGCATTGGTTCTGCACTGGCCGCTACAATCACTCCTGTTGCCCCTCCAAAGGACCCAGATAGGCTGCGAAATTTGTATTATTTCACAAATGCTGCCAATGTTCAGGTGGATATCAGATATGCTCTCCTTCAAGACCGATCAACGGGGATCAAACTTCCGAAGCAGGAAGGCAATGTGTGGGTAGAAATTTTCGTGGCATACTGGAAAGCTGTGGCCGAAATAGTCGAAATTGAAGAGTCGCCTCAGACGGGGAGTTGGGCCAAGGTCTTCAACGCTTGGAAGCAGGTTGCCAATCTTCTCATACGCGGGTACACCAATGGAGGATTCCAGGCGTGGACGCTGCCTTGTCTATATATCGTTGGGAGATATCTTCGAATATTTGCGGTGGAAGCGGATGCCAGCACGTCTCAGGATTCAGATGCTTATAATAATAGCTTCCAAGACGACGTGGTATCCGATCCCAGTAAGAATGCCAAACTGGAGGAGTCATCTCAAATCATTAACCGAATGTTCACGTTGTGTCTCCACGATAGGTATGCTTTCTGCTTAAACGTCATGTTGGGCTGCTCATCTAAACAACAATTCTTCCAGGGCACCTATTGAAGAGTCTCGTAAATGGGGCGTGTATAACACTGTGAACCTTTCTTTCAAAACATATTTTAAGGTGCGGATTCCTGGAACACTGGGAAGTGACATCTCGTCCGTCCTCTAACGATTATTTTGTAGCTCGGGGCCGTATCATCCTGTAAGAGCTTGCTGCGGGCTATAAATGCATCGACGCAGATTTACCACCCATTTCGGCCTTCCCCAAATCACATATTGTCACCTTCAAATATTATCTCGGCGTGATATGTTTCCTAGACGAGAACTACGCAGAGGTATGTGCAGGAGGTGACACTACATGATTATCTATGCTTGGTCAATGTTTTGACCATGAAACCTTCTAGGCTGAAGAGCATTTGACGTACGCGTGGAAAATGTGCCATCCCGACGCCAAGAAAAATAAAGAGTAGGTGCAAGAGATGTCCGTTCGTATATTGAATGGCAACAGTACTAAGAGACCCTATCCAGACTAATTCTTACCTACCTTATTCCCTGCCACATCGTAACAACCCACACACTGCCGACACGTCGACTCCTTGCCCCCTATCCTCTTCTTGAGAAGCTCTACAGTCCCTTGAGCAAGTGCATCAAGAAAGGCGACCTTACGGGCTTCGACACGGCGATGGCTGCCGGTGAGAATGAATTTGTCAAGAGACGTATATATCTACCGCTCGAACGGGGACGAGACATCGCTCTCCGAAATCTTTTCCGGAAGGTGTTTTTGGCTGGAGGATACGATCCACCCGTGAACGGACAACCACCTATCCGGCGTACGCGAATCCCTGTTGCGGAATTCGCTGCTGCAATTAGGCTAGGCAACAAGGTGGATGAAAAGGTTCCGCTTGACATGGATGAAGTTGAATGCTTTCTAGCAAATCTCATTTACAAAGTGAGTAACAGGCCTTCCGTTGCTTCACAAACAATTCTTTTCTTAGCGCCTGGAGAGAGCGATAGTACTAGAAAACCTTTTCCTATCATAGTTGCTGACTAGGCCTACTACGTAGAACTTGATGAAAGGATACATTTCTCGGGAAAGAGGTATTGTGGTGCTAAGCAAAGGCGGCACCGCGTTCCCCGGAACCGGGGTCTAATATACCTCACACCACAGAACCTATATTCATTCATCCGTGGCCCTTATTCTGCCGTGCGATTTTCCTCGAAATAATAAACACTCCTCTTTTCTTAGCTTTCCTTGGCTCGCGAACAAGGAGAGCGATGGAAATGTAATCGATATGCGCGCCTGTATTCATATGACAAATCATTAGAGAATATTCCCCCTTTCCCGCCAACTTCCGCGGATACTATCTCAAGCCTGGCCGCTTATCTGCACCTTCGTATTATACGGACATGCTCTGAATATATTATTGAGTCGTCTTCGCGCAGCTGGTACTACCTACATATCTGAAAGTTCAACAAGCGCCTCAACTACTTCGCTCTAAAGGTAACTGCCAGCCGCCCGCATTCCTCACATACCAAACTGATACCCGCTCACTGTTCCGCACAGTCATCCAATCCAACTAACACCGACACCACCACCACCGCCACTACTACCAGCAAAGATACCCACCTGCCTATCCCACTAACAAATTCACCTACTCATTGGCGCGCAAAAGGCACCCTTCGCCAGAGCTGTCATGCAAACCCAGGCAAGGGAACAGGACCAGCCCAATACAGTGGCTCATACACACATCTTCTCTGACATCATAGAAAGAGGGTAAGTAGCATGAGAGAGAGAAGAGATGTGATATTCTACAGTTGTATATACAGTAGTGGCAGGAAGTCAGCGTACTAGCGGCTCGGCGCTGAGAATCTAGATATCAACCCGCTTCTCTATTTAATGAATCAAATCTCAACCAGGTATCTAATGTAGCCTTACATACATGATTTCTATAGCTAAATCAATAGAGAATACCTATATGCACTTTCTTTTTCTAATATTTAGTTGAGCCATGTTTAGACAAGACGTCAGAATTAGACTGACCGTGTGACCGTGTCTGGGACCAGGATCAGAATATTTGATGAGTCTCATTACCAATTTGATTGATTTCATTACATGGTTTTAAGATTAGATAGTAGTCTCATACTGTCTCAGTGAGACTTACTATCTACTCTTGTCACATTTTTCAAATGAGATCATGATTTTCACTTCTCAATTTAAATTCATTTTATTGCTTTAAATGACTTTAAATTTCATTTAAGTATTATCAAAAAGTGTTACTTTTTAAAAAATTAAAAATAGTCTAAAAAAATCTTAAAATGTCTAAAAATAGTCACTTTATATCAAGAATGAAACTAAATAAGATTAAATAAGATTACTTTCTTATTTTTTCTAAGTTATAATCTTATTTTAAGATCTGATAAATAGTTACTTTACATGTTTTTTTAATAATTAGTTTCAGCAGAATTCATATCAAGAAATGTATAAAATCAGATTAAATAAAATTAAATATGAAATTTATAATTTCAGTAATTCATCTAATTAAAATTATAAATTTCATATTTAATCTTATTTAGTCTGATCTTATATCTTTCTTAACATAAGTCTTATCAGAAATAGATATTAGAAAAACATAATAAATAATCAGACTTTAAAATTTAAAATAAAACTACAATTAATAACTGATTAAATTTTTTTTAGTCTCATATATTTCTTAGTATAAAACTATTATTTTTAGCAACTTTTTAAAAAGTAATAATTTTTAATTGTATTTAAATAATATTTGAGATTATTTAAAACAATAAAAAGAGAAATTAATAATATATTATAATTTTATTTAAAAAATGTGATTTAGAAGAATATACAGCTATCAGATAATAATATAACTACTTTTAAATATACTTATAAATATAAAAGAGTTTAGCAGCTATTAATTATTTTATATATAAAAAGCTGATATATATCTATAATCTTATACTAACTTAAGTAATCTTTGAATCAGATCTAATAACATATCTAAAAACTGATAAGAAGTGCAGACTTCTCAGAGATATAATAATTTTATTTATAAAGTAATTTATAATTATTATATTAGAGTAATTCTAAACATCTCAGAATAAAAGTATATGAAATAATAATAAGTAAAAGAGTATTTAATTAATATTATTTTACTTATTAAAGAAAAACTTCACACTCAGACAGATACTATATATACAATTATAATAACATATAAGAAAGAGAAGAAAGATAATAAATACTAATTTAAAAAAGTCTACTTTTTACTTAGAAAAATAAAAAAAGTGATTATTATCAGAATTATATAATAATAATATAAATTATAAAATAAAAAATACTGTATAATTAATAAAAAATCTTCTGAAATATTTTTTTAAATTAATATATGTGGCGGGCTGCGCCCGATCAATTATATAGACTATTTCATTACACTTCATAGATTCTTCCATTCCCGATCACCGATCTGCGGCCGCTATGAACGCGTGTAGCATACACTCCGATTCTCAGCCATTCTCAATCACCGATCTGCGGCTGCTACAAACATGCATAGTGTACACTCTGATTCTCAGCCATTTCTGATCACTGATCCTCGGCCGCTACGAACACATGTATATTCTTTCACCCTGAAGCTCCATCACATACACCATCACATACATGTATAAATATTCATCTTGATTGCTGATTCTTGCACTTTCTCTTTCTTTCCTTCTCTAACATTTTTATCTTTGTTATATAAGACCTATCAATATTATACTGATCTATTTGGCATAGGTCTCTTACACTATAAAAATGTTCATTGTCTTCTTATTAGAAAACAATTATTCATGCATTATCTTCTCATTAGAAACAATTACTCATCAAGAGATATCTGAATGTGTAACAATATGTAAGAAACAGTTAAGTGAACATCAAGTTCTCAGATAGAAGCTTGCTCATCAGTTGCTCTGACCTTATAACAAGATCTTATGAAGAGAATAAGATCTTATAAGAGAATATCAGTGAAAGACCTGAGAGTTCTGACACTCAGACATATAAGAATACAATTACACTTTTTCAGATTTCACAGATATTATATATCTGATAATCAATATAATCATGTCTAACAATAATATGAAACTCTCAAATATAAGCATAGATGCAGTGTCACAGTGACTCTGAGCAATGTTAAAACTACAATAATAATAAATAGCTGATATGCATGCAACTCAACAATGTCAATATGAAGAGATTCAATGATTATTATAACAAGAAACTCATACAATCTCAATATCTACAGAATCAAATACAAAAGTGCTGAAAGAATACTTAGATACTTCTGTATATTTTAATACTTCTGATCTCACTCTCTACTCATCAGAAAGAATGAAGATACTTATAAAACTGAGTATAGATAAAGATGCTATCAGTTCATTAATTAATCAAGATTAATATATTAATGAACAATTGAAAGATCATGTGAAACAGAAGTTTTATTCATGAATAAAAGCATATGAATCAGTGTTATAAATGTCTGACAATATCATGAAACATCTTGATATTCTGTTTCAAGACACTGCTATATAATAGAAAGTATTAGATTAGTTACAAAGTATCTGACAGAGAAATACTTCTCTTACAATATTCATTCCTGACTTCAATATCAAGATTCTAGAAGCAGGTGATCAGTCTTGAAAGAATTGAATGAAGATTAGCATGCTTAAGAAGACATTGACTTTCAAACTCTTACAGATTCTTGTAAGTGCAGATAAAGACTCAACTTATAAAGACTTCTGCACACAGCTTCAGATAATGAATAACTGTCTTATCAAGCTCAAGAATATACAGAACAGTGATAGAAGATGTTACATTTCAGTAACTTATACATCTGCACTGAGAAATAACAATGATGCAGATGTCATGAATTGAGTAGACTTAAATATCTATATATAAGCAAGGGTCTTCACTGTCTGAACAGACTTCTGAGTCTCTGAGATCACTTTCAAAGAAGTCACTGATTAACATCAATATAGAGTGTGTATTAACTGTAACTGATCAGAATACATTGCTTTCAACTGCTAATTAACCTATGTGTCTTCATATTCAAGAGAAGAATCAGTGTCTTCTTGTTTAAAGAAGGAATCAGCACCTGTTCACATTAATCACATTGCATTAGAGGAAGATTCAGAGAATAACTATAAGAATGCCTCAGTGAAACAGAGAAAAGATTAGCTTCTATTCAAATTCACAAACAGAAGCTTGAAGAGATCAGATGATAATAATTTAAAGAGAAGATGATAATGAATACAATTCTTGTATTCACTGTGATTAATAACATATATAATATGAAGATCATGATAGACAGTGATCTATACTACTATGCAATGATAAAATCTTCAGTCATAAGACATTATAATCTTCAGTGTATTTCTCTATTAAAACCTCAACTTCTCACAGAATTTAATGATTCAAAAGACATTTGTACCTGTTACATGATAAAGCTGATTATAGATGTAGAAGAACATCAATATAAAGATATCTATGCATATGAAGTTAATAATCTTGATTATAATCTTATATTAGAACTTGTCTGACTATCTGAACAAGATATCTTATTAAATGCTTAAAATAGAAGCTTGATATTCTCTAACAATGATAGAGTTTATAAAGATGATATTCACAAGATCATGAATCTGACACAGATCTCTGTCAATACATATGAAATACTCTGAAAAAGAAGTTATCATCAAAATCACTGACAGAGTTACTAATAGTAAGATTATATGTCAATCTATTCTGTCAGTCTGATCAATATTAAAAAGACTCTAGAAAAGTTATTCTGTGTTATAATAACAGATTCTTATACAAAACTCTCTCAATAATATTATGAATATCTAGATATCTTTTGATAAGATAATATTATAAACATATCTCTCTTACAAGATTCTGAAGTGAATCACAGTATCAAGTTAGAGAAAAAGAATGATAAGAACTCTGAATTATTATAAGACTCTCTTTATAATATATCTCAAGATAAACTTCTTCTTCTTTAAAAGACACTCAATGATCTGTTGAATAAAGAATTTATATATATTAGCAACTCTTTCATCACAGTCTCTATTCTCTTTGCAAAGAAATCAGATGAAGAACTCTGATTCTGTG